GACTTTTTCCACAGCAGCTTTTCTTTCCGTCTTCTAAGGTTCACACCTTCAGACAAACATGCACAGCCCCTAACTTTATCTCACCTTTTCAGTGATCTTCAACAGCAGTAACAAAAAGCAGGAGAAAACAATAATTAAATATATGTTTATTCCAGCTGCTTTATTTTGACATAGCTATCCTCAAGACAGTACTTTTAAGTGAAAAATCCTCAGAAGATTCCCCCTTATTAAAGGAGAAAAATCTGTTTGGTGCACCCAGCTGTGACTTGAGAAATGTGAGTTACAGTCCCTCTTTTGCCACCACCTGGCCCAGTTTTTACGATTTAGACAGGTTCTTTAGCTTCTCCATTCCTACTCACTTGTTGCTGTACTTCACATGCATAGGGTATGACCCACTGTGCTCAGATAGGGGAATGAGAGTCCTAGAAGTACTTTAGCTGAATCTTGTTGGGATGCAGCTCCTCCATTAAGACTTTCACAAAGGTCTCTAGTCTTGGGAGCAATATCGCCAGTTGTTCACAGTGACTGGACAAAGATCCCCCTAGCTCCGCTCATAAACTGGTAGCAAGAGGTATGCCAGGACCTGGTTGGAGCCAGCAACCTGTGATTTCTAAATCCTTTTGAAGGAGTTTGGAACTTTACTGAGAGATTTTCCTGACCAAAATGAGGGCTATGTTTTATAAACTGGACTATATTCAGAACTCAGAATTTGCATTCATGTCTCTGAATGGACTTTGGAAGTACTTTTACCCCTGTACTGTCCTTTTAAGGACCTAACATTAGTGGTAGCGGACACAATTGTATTACTACAGGTCTGCCAAGAACAGTAGACTTTGAGAGAGAGGTTCATAGATCAGCAGAGGGGAAGAGTTTACAGCTAATGTGCATTAATTATAAGAGCTTTAAAATGACTGGTAGCAAAGCTGGAAAGCCCATCAGCAGCCTGCTATATATTGGCTTATAACAGTGGTGGAATATGTGTCACTAGAGTTACTACCATGTTTGAGGGTACGTTCATGCATTTGAGTAACAGTAACAATTGTATTTTCACTCGCACCGTCAGCCATTTCTGACGGACCACAATCACAGCATTGAGATATAATTTTTGGTTTGCCAGTGGGAACTACAAAACACTCTGCTGTTAGCATGCAAAATTGGGTAAAGCAACACAGTAAGTCTCTCCCCATCTGAGAGAGTGAGTAACACTGGTCTCCCTGGAGTTTAACTGAAACAGAGAGCGCTCATTGCCACTAAAGACTGAAATCTTGTTCTAGAGAGCACGCAGCAGGGAAGTCATGTCACTTTATAATCATCGAGCTTATCAAGTACCCTTTTCAGGTATGTTGAATTTCTGCTGAGGGTAAAATGTGGGCAATATAATGGGACTAGATCCCTAGGCCCAGGCCTGGAGTGGCTGGGGAGCTGTGACTCTCCACCTGTCAGCGGGTGTATTACGGTGGAGAGAACACCAACAGCATCCTGCTGTTGTTGTCTGACCCCACGTGCTGGAGTAAGAAGGCTGTAACATAAGGACTTGGCTGACCTGATTGCATGCCAGCTGAAAAGCCTTTGACAACAGAAGGAAAGCCATGTGGGTATGGCTACAGTGAAGGACTTTCCTTTTTATTCTCCAACAAAAATAATATTCTCAAAGCCAAAGAGAATGGTTCATCCCAGCTGCTTCTGATGAACTTACTGGAGATCTGGACTCTTCCTACTTCTTCTGTGCTCCCCTGCAAACAAGATATGACTGTAAACCTGCCACTGAGGATATCCTTTGAAGGAAAAGGACTGTCATCCCAGAGCAGTGGTCTATGGGCAGAGCTAATATGCATAAAATCTTACAGTTCCCATTCCATAAAACAACATCCTTTTTATATGCAGACATTGCTCAAGCCATAAAATCCACCCACATTCTGTCTCTATAAAATGTGTCTCTAGAACTGGCCGGGAAACAGCTGCTTTTTCCAGTTTCCCTGTATCTTTTAATCTAATTTTTTAAATTTGGTAAGAGCGATGCCAAATAGCCGCTATTGATGAAGACATGTGTGGTTATTGAGGGAGAAAGGTCCGAGTCCCTGTTCTGCACCCTAGGAGTGCAGCGGCTCTTACATTCTGGCCAGAAATACCCCCTGCCAGTGTCACCAGCTGATCTCCTTCCGCTTGGGAGCAAGCGAGTGAGTGTTACCCCCATTCAGAGCGCTCTGTCGTAGGGCTATAGTAATTCCGTAATACCATAACGGTACGAGCGGTCATGCAGTGGAGAACCACGTTTAACATTTGTCATGCAATCCACTACTATTCAGATGGGTGGGCCCCTCTTCTCCCCACTGCCCCCAGGCACACCAGCCCTGGCCCCATCCTTCCCTGGCTAGAAATGGATATGCCAATCTAGAAACCTGCTCAGCTGATACAAGGTACTGCCTGGTTGTATTTGCTCAAGCCAACGTCTTGCTTCCAGCAGTGCTTGTGAGCACTGCAAGGAAATGGGGCTTTTTCCATATTGCCTGGCGGGAGCAGTCCCAGGCCAGCGCTGCCCAGACCGTGCCTGATCATTGCCTGGGAGAGTACCAGCTGGCACAGGGCAAATCTCCTCCAGGGATGGGCAAGCTAACAAATAAATAAAATGTGGATGATTGCAGAAAGAGTTCAGGCTGGGGTTCATGCCTGTGCCTCAGCCCTGGCTGGTTTTCTAGTATAGGGGCAGATAAATCCCTATGAGACTCAAATAGTAAAAATAAACACGTAGCAAAGTAAACACAGAAGACTCCAAGTAAGTTCAGATGGCTGGTCTATTTGTTTAGTGCCTCTGTGTTCAGGCAGAAACATCTCCAATTTTTGTTGCTTTTCCTGGCCACTTAGAGCAGTCCAGCTGCAATGACTTTGCTGAAGATTTTCTTTTCTTGGAAATCAGATGTGTTAACTAGAAAAATAACCTCCCCTTTGTGACAGAGCCCTTTTGGCAAGGGTGGAAAGTGGTTTGTGGTCTGTCTCAGCCAAACAATCCTTTGAATTTTTATCTAATGATCTAGTGTGAAATTAGATAGATGTGACTTTTTTTCACACATATGATCAAGTTACAGTCAATGAACAAATATTCAGCTGGCCACCATAACTGCCCAGTGATGTACTCTGGATGCACTTAATGCTGTGAGGTAAAACACAGTCTATAAGCCTCTATTTTTTGAAGAGTACCCCTCAGACCTGCAAGACAAATTCACAGCATCAACTGTATAATCAGCAGAAGTATGGCAGAAGTATGTAATGTTACGCATGGGTTTAATTTCTGGGGAATGTACATATCATGCAAGATTTTGGTTACATAAAAGGAGAGTTTATCCCCTTTTCACTCAGTTTCAATACCTAGAGTTTAACTTGTAAATTGGTATGAGTTGATTTATATTTGCTTTCTCGCTCTTTCCATGTGGATGCCTCAGATATTTCACAATGCCTGTGGAAGGCAGCCACTTGCATTAGTAGCCCTGTGTATTCTTTGCAAAATGACAGCAATAATAGTGGGAGGTGGCAATTAGACTGGGAGACCTCTAAGCTCCACTAGCTAGTACAGGTATCTTTGCTCTTTACTCTAACTTATACTGGGACCTGCGATAATGTCAATAGGACTGTACAGGGCTATATACCCCTGCAAAGCCCACATACGTGATTTATTTGCTAATCCAAACCATTAACGTTATTCTGATTTTACTTCTACAGGTGCTCGTGGGCAAGTGTGCAACGTGCTGTGAATTTTGTTCTGAAAACTCTTGGACTAGAGTATCATGAAGAATTAGCCAATTCATTTATTTCATTTTTCTTTTTTTTTTTTTTGAAATGTCTTTCTTCCTGGAAAGTAGAGGTTCATAAAATAGATAAGAGTATTTGTAGTGTTGCTGGAGTCATGATCCCTTAAAGAAAATGAAAGAGGAACAGTTTGGTGAGACGAAGTAACATCTTTTACTAGATCAACTGACATCGTTGGAAAAAATGGGCAATGTTCCAACAGAGAAGTCCTTATTATTCAGCAAAAGAGACTGAGAGCCCCTAAAAGTGTCTGTTTGTTTGTTCAGCTCTATCAGTCGGTATAATGAAAGATGTTATCTCTCCTCACAAATGCCAACTTTCTTACACAGTGCATTGTGAATGCAGTCACAGATATGTATCTTTCCCCCTGACCACGTCAAGCCATGACTTGAAATAAAGGCCCTATCTCATAGTTGTTCTCTCAGCTATACCATCTCCTTTGGGGCTCAGCCCTAACCATGTAAAAACATTCACAAATTTTAATTCTAAGCCAGTGGTTAACAGTTTCAAGCCTGACAATGCACAGCACTGCTTGTTTGTTGCTGGGAAATCTCATTTCGAAAGTCAGATCACTGGGGTCACTTGGCTGTTCTGCAAAATCAGGCCTTGTAATCTGAGTCTATTCCTGGCACCTGTAACCATGGTCCCTTCCCCGCTCCAGCTCCTTTTCTGATCTTCTGTTTCATAGCTTCCTTTTTTGATATATGACCATGGAAACAAACCTTGACTATATATATATATGTATGAATATGCACACGTGTGTGTGTGTGTATACATATATATTCATATATATCCTTGAAAAAATAGCTACATATTCACAAGTAGGTGGTTTTGTTTTGGAATAGTCTCTTTTGAGCGTTCACCTTTCTGGCAGTGCTCCTGTTGTGGGGATTCTTTTTCTCCAGCTGCCACTAGATGGTATTGCTTCAGCAGGTACCTTCACAGCTGCTCTGCACCTTTTCTGAAACGAAGACCCCCCCCAGAAAAGCAGCAGTCTCAGCCCCCCACAACATTGCAGAGCGCTCCCTTCTCACATGAAATATTCTCAGTCTGAAGTTCAGAATTAGCTCCTTACTCCAAAAGGGCCCAAAGGGACTGAATTCAGTAGTTAAACGAGGGGATGCATTAACATGATACTGTTAATCTTTTACAAGCAGACTGCCAGGCAATTCACAGAGACCAGCTAAGGGGGCTTCAGCATGAATGAAGTCGAGGAGACAGCAAGAAAGCGCCAAGCATCGGAGATGTGTGGCCAGAGCGACCAGACAGAACAGGCATTTTCATTGCATTTGCCACTTGCTGGGACAAACAGGAATCCCTTCACCAGTAGGCAGTACTGTCTGTGCGTGCATCGCTGGGAGCTGGGACAACGTCGCAGGGAAGGTATTGCTCTATACATTCCTGATTTCCTATATTCTTCAAGCATCCACTGGTGACCGTTGTTGAGGACAATGTATTAGGATAAATGGACCTTCAGTCTCAGTCAAATTAGCAGTTGTGTTGCAGCACAGTTTCTGTTTAAGGGCAAATTTATGTTAGCTCTATAATCCACAGATAAGACAGGTCTGCGGGCTGCCTGAAATTTCAGATTGCTTGAAGCATAAAAGCTGAAGCAGACCGACAAGACTTTTGGAGTTCCCGATCTTTTAAAATAACTGAAACAAAAATGTGAACAAAAAGCTGTTTTTTCACAGTCACAAAAATCTTGTAATAGGGTCTTGCGGTTCTCTTGAGTGCTCATGACAGAAAATCAGTTAAAGATGCAGGAAATTATTCTGCACAACTGTTACCAGTCTAGTGGATGAAAGAATCAGTGTAATGAGATACGAAGTGCTTCTGCATTGAAAAAGAATGAATTGAGCTGGTAAGCCTTGAGTGATTTGCTACCTTTTTACACTTGATAAACATCTTTATGGTAAGTTTATATGACATGAGACCATTCTACTTCTATGTTTCCTTGTTTTGTCATTCAACTACCTTATGTCATTGCTATTCAGCTACCTTATGTCATTGCTTCCCGTGCTGGATCTTAACAAACAAAAAGGAGTTGTCTTCTGAGCTACAGCCACTGCTGGAAAAAAAAAATGCTTTACTTGCAAAAAAATCCACCGTCTTGCCTAGATATAGAGGAGGAAGGACAGTGAAATGCCCAGCGCCTGCGAGCCGCCGGGAAGCACGAGGAAAGACGCTGGTGTGGCGGTAGCGACTCACGCGGTTAAGACGTGGCATGGCTGAGGGGTAAGAGAGCAACACGGTTTTACCAGGAGAGGGACAAACGCCCTACTGGCGTGGTATATGAAATTCAGTTAAGCGGCGAGCGTGGAAGCTGTCGTTTGGCAGCTTGCAGCCCTTTGCCAGCGCGGGTAACCGGCCCGGCCAGCGGTGTAGCGCTCGTGGCGGTAGCGACTCACGCGGTTAAGACGTGGCATGGCTGAGGGGTAAGAGAGCAACACGGTTTTACCAGGAGAGGGACAAACGCCCTACTGGCGTGGTATATGAAATTCAGTTAAGCGGCGAGCGTGGAAGCTGTCGTTTGGCAGCTTGCAGCCCTTTGCCAGCGCGGGTAACCGGCCCGGCCAGCGGTGTAGCGCTCTGGTCCGCTGCGGACAAGCGGGGGCAAGTCCGGCCTCGGGAGAGGGCGGCAGTAGCTTCGACAGGGGCGTGAACCGCCAGCCGGGTGCAAGCTGGCCCCGAAACGCTTGGCGCTCAGCCGGGCCGCGGGGCCGGGGGTCGGCTCAAGCCCCCACCCCCG